GAAAGAGAATATAGAGAGATGAAAAAAGGAAAAAAAAGGTTTTGAGATGATGGAAATCCTGTTAAATATAGTGGTTAATTCTATGTAAGCCTGTCTGAATATTTGAAACATTTCATCTCTACCCTCCTTGTAGCAGTTATCCATTGCTGCATAACACATTTCTCCAAACCATAAAAGAACACACAGTTATTATCTCACAGTTTCTGTGTTTGCAGAACCTGGGAAAACTTAACTGAATCATCTGTTTTCATTTCTCTCACAGGTGTCTGTCAAGATCCCATTGAGACAAAAGCTGTTTCTAAACTCATTCAGTGGTTGTTGGCAAAATTAATTCCTTAGTGTTGCTAGACTAAAGGACTCTCTTTTCCTTGCTGGCTGTTATTCAGAGGCCACCCTCAATTCTTTACCACATAGGTATCACTATTACTAATTTAAATAACATAGCTCCACTTTATCCATAACTTCTGATTGCAACTAAAACTTGCTTTCTTTTTCATGTATACTTCATTGTTTCAAACAAAGTTAAAAGCATTCCCAAAACTTATACAAAGCAGTAACCGGGTGAGATGCTAAGAAGTATTTTGAGAAATCCTATAGTATACCAGTCATAGAGTACATGGAAAAGACCACAACTTAATCTGTTTTTTTTCTTTCTAAGTAGAGAAGGTAACAATAACTAATTATAACTAATTATAAAAACAGGTTTGGTGGCATACCTAAGGTGGTTAAAAGCCATATCGGTGGATGGAATTCCCTTAACAATAGTAAGTTGCAGATCTAGCTGGGAAACAGGACTGTGAAATCAAAGTCTTTGCTTTAAGCTGTCTAAATTGCTCTACAGTTCCGCCCAACAGGAAATGTTGTAGGCCTTCAGTTCAAAGTCTTAGGATAAGAGCATGGTTTTCCTGTCTTTGTCTTCCAGTTGTCTATTCTCCATAAGGGACCTATAATGCCTCTCTCTCAAGGACCTAGTGCCATTGTTTCAGAATTTCCAGGAATGCTCAGACACCACTTCTTGAGAGCACATGTTTTATTTCCAGCTTGGGTAATATAGATGGCTAATTGAAGATTCACAGGTTCATGATTTCCATTTCATCAATATTAAAAAGAATGAGACAGGGACAGCTATTAAAACAGAGTAAACAAACAAACAAAAAAACCAGCAAAGATTCATAGGCTGATCACAAGTAAAATTATGGCCTTACTATAAATAGGGATTTATTCCTGGGTTAGGGCAGGGTCTTCTGAAATCTCACAATGCAGATAAAGCTATATTTTAAATGTGTTCTTGAGTAAACTTCCACATGGAAGGAAAGGCTGCCACAGTGAGAATGATTTGATAGGTGGACTCTGGGTTTGCTGGGCATTGCACTTCATTTTTGAGGCCAACATGAGCTTACCTAGAAATTCACACTGCAAGGGCAAATGAACTTCTGTGGGCAAAATCCCTTGTGGAAAGGAAGGCCTGTAGGGCCAGGTCCATGCTGCAAATGACTAAAGCAGGCCAAGTATTTTATATATATATATATATATATATATATATATATATATATATATATATATATATATATATATATATATAGAATGTCAGTAATGATGAAGTGGAAAG